TCTGGGATGTCCGGGAGTGGAATGCCTCATCTCGGGAGCAAATGCGGCGGAGGCAAAGGATTTGGGAATAGGGGATGGCCTTTTTGCAGGAAGGTGGGTGAGAGGAGGTGTACTCTAGGTAGCTGTGGGAGTCGGTAGGCTTGAAATGGATATCGGTTTCCAGATGCATGCCAGAGATGGGGACAGAGAGGTCCAGGAAGGAGAGGGAGGTATCGGAGATGGTCCAGGTGAACTTAAGGTTGGGGTGGAAGGTGTTAGTGAAGTGGATGAACTGTTCGAGCTCCTTGTGGGAGCAGGAGGCGGTGCCGATACAGTCAGCAATGTAACAGAGGAAGAGGTGGAGGATAGGGCCAGTGTAGCTTTGGAAGACGGATTGTTCCACGTATCCTACAAAGAGGCAGGCATAGCTTGGGCCCATGCGGGTACCCATGGCCACCCCCTTAGTCTGTAGGAAGTGGGAGGAATTGAAAGAGAAGTTGTTGAGGGTGAGGATGAGTTCGGCTAAGTGGATGAGGGTGTAAGTGGAGGGGAACTGGTCGGGCCTGCAGGACAGGAAGAAGCGGAGGGCCTTTAGGCCATCTGCATGGGGAATGCAGGTGTATAGGGACTGGTTACATCCATGGTAAAGCTGAGGTATTGGGGACCAGGGAATTGGAAGTTTTGGAGGGCGTGGGTGGTGTCACGGACGTAGGTAGGAAGTTCCTGGACCAAGGGGGAGAAAATGGAGTCAAGATAGGTGGAGATAAGTTCGGTGGGGCAGGAGCAGGTGGAGACAATGGGTCGACCAGGGCAGGCAGGTTTGTGGATTTTGGGAAAGAGATAGAAACTGGCGGTGCGGGGTTGGGGAGTGATGAGGTTAGAGGCTGTGGGTGGGAGGTCACCTGAAGACCAGGGAATTGGAAGTTTTGGAGGAGATGGAGGACAATCGACAATGGTTTCGTGGTTAGAATCAGACTCTTAATTCCAGACTTTTATTAAATTCAAATTCCACTATCCGTCATGGCAGGATTCGAACTCAGATTCCCAGAACATTACCTGGATCTATGGATTAACAGTCCAGCGTCAATACCACTAGGCGATCACCTCCCAAAATGCCCCTCTGCCACCCAAGCAGATTTATTTTTGTTTTCTTGAAGTTTAGAAAGTGTCAGTTGCTTTTGGTGTCAGGAAACAGTAAGATCCCATTGGCTTGTCTGGCTCAGAAGCTCGAAGTCCTGACTTTGCATAATGGAATAATAATGGAACAATTTTATAGAAGCTGTGAGATCTAGGAGCAGGAGATGACTATTCAGCACCCCTCACCCCAGACCTGCTCTACCATTCTACACAATCATGCCCGATCAACTCCACTTTCCTACCCACTCCCTGTATCTATCAATTTCATCAGCATCCAGAAAAATAGCTTGATCTCAGTCTTAAATGTACTCAATGACTGAGGGTGCTCCACTGTCTGGTGGAGAGAATTCCCAAGAATGAAGATATTTCACCTTACCTCAGACTGATGTAGGCCATTCAGCCCCTTCACCGTCTTACTCTGAATTCATATGGAACGGCCAGCCTCTCTCTGTCAAACCCCATCCCCTTCCAGTTCTAGACTGCCCAGTCAAGCAGGGAAGAAAGACTCTCAGCTTCAATCCTGTCAGTCCTCCTGAAAAACTTGATACTTTGTTTTACTCCAGTCATGATCCAGCAGCCTGCACTGATAATCCAGAGGGATAAATTCACATCCTGCCAAGCAGTTTGAAAATTAAAACTCCGTCAACTAAGTTAATAAAATGGTAGGATAAGTGCTGGTGATATGCAACAATCCATTTGTTGTGAAAAGCCAAGCTACTTTAATAATATCCTTTTCCAAAAAAGAAACCAGTTGTCCATGTCCCTGGTCTGTGTTCTCCTAGACTTTAGACACAAGCAATAAGATTGATGCTTAATCAATCTTGAAATAGCTTACAGGCAACTTGGACATGTTAAACCACTGTGAGTGCAATAAAGATGTTGCATTGACTGAAGCAGGCCTGCCACAATCTTTCAAAGGGATGCTTTAGGATGGGGAGTAAAAGCTGGCGTTGCCAGCAATGCCCACAGATGGTCATTCTCCTCCACTTAAGCCCAAAATTCCAATTCAGCCTGCTGTCTCAACCGCTGAGCTGGAACCGGTGCTGAGGGAATGTCACAGTCATGAAGAAACAGCACTGTCAAATATGCCATCTTTTGAGTGAGATGTTAAATCCAAGCCGTCTGTTCTCTGAGGTGAATGTTTAAGATCCCATAGTCACAATTAGAAGTGTATGGTGTCCTGAGACTGATGATCTGTTTGCTGCCAGTGCTGTTTGCGGTATCCTGCTGTGTGCGGATTGGTTCTCATATTTCTCTATATTGTAGCAGCAACTCTACTTGAGAAATTGCTTCATTGTCGAATGAAGGTGGTGAAAGCTTGCTTTCTGCTGCTGCTGATTGCTATCTTTGGTCTACAACGTGAGAGGGGGCTGTAAATCAGCCAGTGTGCCTGCTTCTGATCACTGTCTATTGACCCCAGCTTTGCAGACAAAAGGAAATGATCCAGGACTCCAAATAAGACACAAGATGTAGGAACAGAAGTAGGCAATTCAGCCCGTCGAGTCTACTGTGCCGTTCAGTGAGATTATGGTGGATCTAATAATCCTCAACTCCACTTCCCTGCCTTTTCTCCCATAACTCTTGATTCCCTTACTCCATAAAACTCTGTCCATCTCAGCCTTGAATATACTTAATAATCAGGACTCAATTATTCTTCAGAAGATGACTACTTTGACCATTGAATAGTGATCCCTGTTTTACAGAGAGGGAGGAAATCAGCATGGGTTCCTGTTCCTCATCACTATCTAGTTATCCCTGGGCTGTAGAGAGGGTAGATCAGCCAGGGTTCCTGCTGACACTGGGTATGAATTAGACAGGGGACACAATCATGGAAATATCAAAAGGGCTGTACACTGCAAATAACCCATGCTGTACTTGTCCTTTACATGCTTGCTTACACGCTTTGCTTTTTTTTTTGACAGAGACGAGGTGAGGATGAAGGGTTCCCACAGCAAAAGCAATGGACAGCCTAAAAGTCTGAGCAAGGCAGATTCGCGGCAGACCTCATCACCTCCTTGCCCTGGGGCTGCCAGTGGAGCACCCCTGAGCCCCAGTAAAGGTGTGAAAAAAGTCTCAGGAGTTGGAGGGACCACCTATGAAATCTCTGTGTGAGACCAAGCAAGACAGAGAGAGAGAGAAACTGAGGCACCTCACAAAAGACTCTTCTACACAGCCAGCAGGGACTGCATCTCAAGTTGACAAGACTTAATTCCTTTGGGATCTGAAAGGAGAGTGTAAGGAGAGGAGAACTGAACACTGGAGAGCTCTCCTGATCCTCTTCCATGACTTGGTTAAACGCGGTGGGAATCCTTCTATGCGCAAATCCAAATTTTAGCCAATCGTAAGTTTGAAGGAGAGAAAGGAGAGAGAAAGAAACACCCCACAGCCCTCACAAACACAGTGCAGACACATGCAGAGGAGAGCCATGAGAGGGATGCAAATGTGTGTGACAGGGTCTAGTGGGAGACAAGGGGTGGTGGGAAATATCTGAGCGGGACAAGGGAATGAAGAGAGATTTGCAGCTTCCTCTCCAGACCGAGGAGATAAGAGCTTGCATTGTGTTATTTTAATTCTGTTTAATGTTCCACCCAACCTCACTCCTTTTCTCTCTCTCTCTCTCTCTCTCTCTCTCACTCTTTCTCTCATGCAAGTTTGAGAGTTCGATCACTGAGGAGCCGACATTGTGCAATCAAACAGGGGGGTGGGGTGGAGGCGTTTGGAGGACAGAAGCCTAATGGAAGAAAGCAAAGACTTTTGAAAAACAAAAGGAATTTTTTATATATATATATAAATATATATATATAATTAAAGGGATTATTTACTCTCTATCCTTCCAATGGTGGAAAGGCTCAAACTATTAACACACTCCCTGGCAACAGCGGGGAAGCAGGGGTGGGATGTTATGAGCTGCTACAAAGGAGGAGAAGGACATGGGGAGGGAGAGAAGGTGACATTTCACAGACTGGTGTCTCCCTCATGCTGCTTATCCTTCTCACTTTACTCTGACTGCTCACATTGCACCTTTTGTTTTAAACCACCTTGCCCCACCTCCCAAAAGCCCACTTTGGTGGACATGCCCTGTACCAGCCTCACCTATACTCTCAGTCCTGGCTATCCTGGTCAGATTTCCGAATCCCAGCAGCATTGGGAGTTTTCTGAAGGGGGCATGAGGTTTGTGGGTGTGGAAACATCTTGATCTGAATATAATAAATATTTTCAAAATAAGCTATTAAATAGACAAGGAAAATTAGTGGATTTTGCCTGAAGACGGTGTGGGAATCTTAAACTTCTGAGTTGTTTACTCTGAGCTGACTTCTCACCATTCCCTTCCATGATGTGCTTCTTGCTGCTCCTCACTAAGTAGCAAGCCAGATAGGAGGCCTGGGCAAGGACATAACTGTTTACCAGATATTTAAGGAGCCACCACTACCAATGCTGTTTCCCACAAAATCAAGTTTGTGCTAAGCCAATTGAGTAGAATTCCTTTTTGTGTGTTGTGAGGGAGGATTGTGAAATTGTTACCTGGTGTTTCCTGGTATTCCTTGCTGTAGTGGTGAGGTACTGCCTTGAACTGCAACAACTCCATATGACAAAGCTGACCCATGACAGTGAAGGGAATGATAATTATAGTTCCGAGTGAGGATGGTATGTGACTTGGATGAAGTCTTAAGACCATTTTAAAAAAAAAAGGACCAAGAGTTAGCTGTTCAGTCCCTCAAGCCTGCAGCACCATTCAGTTGACTCATAGCTAATCTGACATTTCTAAGTCTACTTTCTTGTGTTTTCCCCATAACCCTTGATTCCCCAACTGATCAAGAATATATCTCAGCCTTAATTATACACAAGGATTCTGCCTCTATTGCCCTTTGCATAGCAAGGATTCTTGCTCTCAGAAAAAATTCCTCCTCATCTTAGTCTTTGATTGCTGTCTTTTTCTTCAGAAGCTGTGCCCTCTGGTTGTAAACTTCCCAAAAAAGGAAATGTCCTCATGGCATTTACCCTGTCAAATCTTTTAACCATCACATATGATTCAGTGACTTGGAGGGGAGCTTGCGATTGATGGTGTTCCTGTGCATTTGCTGCCCTTGTCCTTCTATTTGGTACAAGTTGCGGGTTTGGTGTCTAAGGACCCTTGGGGAATTTCTGAAAGATTGCTGCTTCTGAGTGTTGGTAGTAGAGAGAGTAAACACCTGAAGGTGGTGGAGAGAGTGCCAGTATTGTGGACTACTTTGTCCTGGATGGTGTCAAGTATCTTGAGTGGTATTGGAACTGCACCCATCCATGGAAGTGGGGATTATTCCATTCCACTCGTGACTTATGCCTCTTAGATAAGTGTTGGGAAGTCACAAGGTGAGTTGCTCACTGCTGGATTCCTAGCTTCTGATCTGCTTTTGTAGTCACATATTTATAGGGCGAGTCTAGTTCTGTTTCTGATCAATGGTAATCCCCAGGCTGTTGGTAGTGGGAGGATTCAGTTGTGATAAGATTGAGTGTCATGGGGAGATGGTTAGATTCTCTCTGCTTTTTGTGTGGTGTGACTGTTATCAGCCCAAGCCTGGATATTGTTCAGGAGTTGCTGCATTTGTACACGGACACTTCAGTATATGAGGAGTCATGAATGGTGCTGATCATTTGTGCAACTGTCAGTGAACATGAAGGGAAGGTCATGGAGTAGCTGAATTTGGTTGGTCTGAGGAACTCTGGCAGAGATGTCCTGGTGCTGAGATGACTGATCTCTGTCTTCCTATGTGCCTGCCAGGTATGACTCCAGCCAGTAGTTGAAAGATGATGTCAGAAGAGCCTTGACAATTTGCAGTACATCTTGTCAAGTTCCATTGAATCTGTCGCACAGAGAGCCCCCTGGCTATCCTTTTTATTGCTGAAGTAATTAAAGTATGGACTGAAGGGATCGGATGTGGATTTCTTTAAGGAGTGGAAAGCTTTTGGAGGTCTAACATGGAGATTGGACTGAGACTGGAATTCTGATCTGCAAGGCTGGGAGTTAGGTGCAGTCAGAGACTCCTGGATTACGAGCCATGTAGAGCAGAATTGGGTGTGTCATGTGGCAGTGCCAACATGCCAAGTGGGAATATTGATCCTGACTCCAATGCCAGTTTATATTTAGGGATAGGAATACCTAGAGCATTCTGGGCTGAACAATCAACCTGTGCTGTTACAAAGCATCAATCTGATATTATTCTTGTTCTTCATGATGAAGCACGTAATCAGGTAGTACGTGGTTCAGAAGATCATCAATTTCTGACTAATGAAAGATAAAAAAAAAAAATTCTTCCAATTGGAAATGTCTATTTTTCCTGGACCGTCTTTCTGATGACACTGCAAATTGCAGTTTCTGTGTACAAGTGCATTTCTGAGCTTCCGTTGAGTGTTGCTCTAATGATAAACAGAGATTATCCCTCCACTGCACTATCCAAAACTGAAATGCTATAATGGAGCAGCACAGTGTAAAAACATGATTTGCTGTCTGACTACATATTTATAAATACACCCATTAACCAATTTTTCCCTTCTACGAATACTCTAACACACCATCAACATACACACCCCTTTATGAATCTTCTCCCCTGCCATATGCTGTCTCACGAGTATTTTACTAACAACAATCATACACCTGTACCAATCTCCTTTCTACTGTAAACTCTGTGACACACAAACTCTCCTCTACCAGTCTGCCCTCTGCTGTAAACTCCATCAGCTACACACTTCTTTAACCTACCATCCACCCCCACACACACCCCTTTATGAATCTTCTCTATTGCCATATGCTCTGAGTATTTTACCAATATACTCCTGTACCAATCTCCTACTGAACTCCATCTCTCTCTCACTCCTTTGTCAATCTTCCCTCAGCTGACAACTTCAAACCCACACATTTCCCCTCTGCTATATTTTTAAAACACACATTCCTTTTACCAGTCTCCCTTCTACTGTAAACTCCATCAGGTGCATGCACACGCACAAACACTGCTTAACCAATATCCCCTCTGCTGTATTTTTCATCGCACACATACAGTCCTTTACCAAGCTCCCTGCTGCCATAAACTCCTTTCTTTATTCTTTCACAAGGTGAGGGCATGGCTGGCTATGCCATCATTTATTGCCCATCCCTAATTGCCCACAGCGCAGTTAAGCATCAAGTGTATTGCTGTGGGTCTGGAGTCATCTGTAGTCCAGACCAGGTAAGGATGGCAATTACTCCCTAAAGGGCATTAGTAAACCAGATGGGTTTTTCCAACAGTTCCAGTGGTTTCTTGGACATCATCAGACTCTTAATTCCAGATCCTTATTGAATTCAAATTCCACCATCTGCCGTGATGGGATTCTACCCTGAGTCCACAGAACATTATCTGAATCTCCAGATTAACAGTCCAGTGATAATGCCACTAGGCCATCATCTCCCCAAGATGGATATCGCTCACTCCTTTACCAATCTCCCCTCAAACTGTGCACTCCACACGTACTTTTTCCCAACTTCACACCTGCTGCATGTGCTGTATCTCACACAGTGCTCACAAAGCTCCTTTTTAATTTTCCATCTGCTGGGTTCGATCTGTCTTTGCAAATTTTTTTCAGTATCAGTGTTCTCATTGCTTCATCTTCTCTATCACACGTGCCATTAAGAGTTTCTTCATACTATGTCTGTGCATCCCTACCCTTGGCAATCTTACAGTCCTGGAGAGGAATCTCTCAAGCTGTCAACATGTGCTATCCCCTTTTGACAATTTCTTCTGTCTTTGTGCTCTCTCGCGGCACACTGGCCACACACACTAGATGTTAATCTGCCTTGTCTCCGCATGGTCCTTCCTGTTTTATAGTGAACATAAGGACTGTACAACTCTCAAGGGATAGAAATGTTTTATTTTATTGCACTGCTTTGGTATAGACTGACCAAAGAACTCTGTATAGTTTGACTATTTTACACTTGTCACAGGGACCGTGAAGCTTGTACATTCAAGGGAATTAGAGTGAGCAGCATTCACAGATTAAAGTGCAGTTACAAGTACATACTGCAAACAGCAGCAGTTACACACCTCTTCAGCTAGAGGGGTGTAGAGACATGTGAAACACCATCCAAAGGCACTTGGGAAATGAGTAAAGCTTGGATCCGTTTATAACATGGGGCAGGCCCCACTCGTTCAGATATCCCATCACAGTTCAGATGGTTTGCAAGCTCCTTATTTGCTGTCCAATGCTTCCTTCTTTCGTGAGGACAGCCCTTCTCTACTCCCACTCACCTTCTCCCTCCTCCACCAGCCCAAAAGCGCTGAATCACAGACAAACAGGTAATGGGGAATATCGTAAAGATGCAATTGCACCTGACTCCCACAGCTTAGCATCTTTGTTTCAATTAGCTGAGCTGGGGGGGGGAATGGAAGGGGAACACGAGATGACAGATGTCCTTGTTGATTAACTTTAACATTAGAGGCCTATTGACTTCCTAAAGTAGACTACCAGACATTCTCCTATTCCTGTAGGACAGGCTAGAGAAGAGGGCTGAATGGCCTCTTCCAGTTCCTGTGTAACAGGATGGAGGAGTCAGGGGGTCTGAATAGCTTCCTCTTGATCCCATAAGTCAACTGATGGTGTCCACATCAAGGCCCTCCCCACAGCAGCAGCCCCTGTTTTGCTATATTTTCTCCTGTGTCTGATATGGAGCCCAGTTTCAGACGGGTGCAAGTTCAGATTTCACCCCTTCCCTTTGCCTCTCTGGCCCCAGGACCCAAAGGTAAATTGCAGAAGATGCGGTCATGGCTTCCGGTAGAATCGAAGCAGAAGATAGCAGGCAAGACGGAAAGCCACCATAAACAGGAGGAGAATGAGGATGTTAGCCCAGATCGGGAGGGTGACATTGAAAAAGGCCAGGATCTCATCCCTGGGGATGTAGGCAGAGCTGTTGGTTGCGTTTCTGGCCAGATTGCAGTGGTGATAGGCTGAGTTCTCCGCTTTGCATCTGCAAGACAAGCAATTCATCTCATTTAGGGATGGGCCTTAACCATTTGGCAGCCAAGACCCAGATGGGGTAGAGGGATTTCGGGGACTGTCCCTGACAGGGAGCTGAACCAAAGGGATTGGGTCAGACCCACACGCTAAGGACACGGAATGGGGAGCAGTGATTGATGGAGGGGGCTGTGAGTAGCAAGGTGGGTTACGAGGGAGCTGATTGGGGCATGCACAAGAGTAGAATGATGGTCCCTAATTAGTCAGGTAGATGGTGAAATTGGGAGAATGGGGTTGGAGACTTGGTTGAAGAGTGTGTGGAAGTTAAGTCTAATCCCTCACGAGTGGAGAGGAATAGATTGAGGCAGGGTTCCGAAATGAAAGATAGCGACCCCCCCTACCCTCACTGGGATTGGGATCTCCAGCTTTGAGGGAGCAGTGACCCCTTTAAATCTTCCTTTGTACTCTCCCTGTTGGCCAAATGTTGCTTTTACTCGTCTGTCACCTGATCGCGGACACAACCATGGCTTTAGAAAAGGTGGGTCTCAGCTCTTTTAGGGACAGTCCTTAACTGTCAGGTAGGGGAATGGTGAAAGTGTGGGGATTGGATGGAGGAATGCAAGAGAGCTGAATGACAGCTCCTAACTATCAGGTAAGGCAAGGGAGAGAACAGGGGACTGGGGCATGTGATGGTTGCGGGATGGTCCCTGCCTGGAGAATGAGGAGATGGAAGAGGAATGGTACTCACAGAATGGAATGATCATTGGAGAATTCAACAGAGAGCATCACATGGAAGGGGTAGAGGACAAATGCGAAGTATCGAGCCCACGTGAGCCAGGCGGGCAGTCGCTGGATGTAGAATCCTCCGAGCAGGAGAGTGGTCAGCATGAAGATTGTAGCGAAGATGATCGACTGGTCAATCCTGAGGAAGAGGGCGCTGGCGAACAGGCCGATAGACTGAAGAGGCAGGAGAGGAATGAATAGCATAGGCAGACTGTTGATGTCATCCAAATAATAATACGCCATCCCCCCCCCCCCCCCGCCCCCGTGTTTAACCCCATCAGAAACATGACCCATAAAGGAATGAAAAGCCAATGTGCTTGTGACTACAGTGCTAGCAGAGATCAGGATTTGTGCTACCATCTATTATTTATCAACCTGTTCAGGCCGGTTATGAAAGATCCTTGAACTGTATGGGATTGAACCCTGGCCTCCTGGCTGAGAGGTAGGGACACTACCCTAAAATGTGCCTGCTGAGCTCCTTACATAAGAATGGTGGCAGTGGTCAGTGTGATGTAGAGAGTAATGTACACTGTATCTAACCCCGTGCTGTCCCTCTCCTGGGAGTGTTTGGTGCTGACACTGGGTACAAAGTGGGGGACACAGAACACACTGTCAGGGTAATGTAGAGGGAGCGCTACACTGTATCTAGCCCTGCATTGTTGCTACCGTTTTGACTTACTTGTGCTGTCACAGATCCAAGAATGATCATGGCCAAATCGACAAAATAGGCGACGACTCCGTTGAGGCCGCCCATCCAGAAGGCGATGGTGATGCTGACAATGGGCTGGATGATAATTAAGGGCAGCTCACTTGTCATCTTCGCCAGGTAATAGGCAGAGAGACAATAGGAACCAGACAGCCTCTCCTTGTTAATGATTGGGCGTTCCAGTGGGACTGTGGGAGGTACACAGGCGAGAGAGAGGGTGGGACCCATGTACAATATTCTAGACACACACCCAGCACCCACATACATTCTCACTGACACACACACTCAGCGCCCTCATATGCACTCTCACCCCTAGCAGCCACGTCTGTACAAATAGACATGAACACAGACACACGCACTCTCATACACCCAGTACCCACACAGACACATCTGTGTATACAGACATAAACACGTAGACTCAACCATACAAACACAGACATAGACACACTCCCACAGACACACACTCTATATGAATGAGTTAGTATCTTGATCTCTGTGAAAACTTTCAGAAACCAATGGAAGCTATATCACTGAAGTAAACCCCTCCGCTCTCAGGCAGTGATACAGGATCCCACTCTGCGTTCCAACACATCCCTCTAGCCCAGTAAGGCCATTTGGCCATCAAGCAGCCATTTAGGTTTTTCCCACTGCTCCTCTGTCTGCCAGGCATGTCCCTGAAGATTGCAGCGTTACCCCCCCACCCTGCGCAACCGCTCCTATATGTGATAAGGTTCCCTGCCTCTGCCACTCCCCTTCCCTCAGACAGCAAGTTTCTGATCCCCACCATTGGCCAAGTGGAAATCGTTCCCCTTGAATCCCCTCCCATGTCCAAGTGCTGTCTGGTTATGGACACATCATCTTCAAGAATGATCCTAGGGATGAAGGGCTTATCATAATGAGGAGAGGTTAAGGACTATGGGTCTGTACTGAATGGAATAGAAGGATAGGGGGAGGGGGGAGATCTGATTGAAACTTACAGAATACTGAGAGGCCTGATAGAAAGGACATGGAGATGTTTACACTAATAGGAGAGACTAGAACCTGGCACGGTGGCTCAGTGGTCAGCACTGCTGCCTCACGGCGCCAGGGACCTGGGTTCGATCCCACCCTCAGGTGACTGTCCACGTGGAGTTTGAACGTTCACCCCTGTGTGGGTTTCCTCCAGGTGCTCCAGTTTCCTCCCACAGTCCAATGATGTGCAGGTTAGGGTGGGTTGGCCATGCTAAATTGTCCCATAGTGCCCAGGGATGAGTAGATTCGATGGATGGATTAGACAGGGGGATGGGTCAGTGTGGGCTTGTATGGGCTGAAGGGCCTGTTTCCACACTGTAGAGATTCTATTCTATGATAACCTCAGGAGTGAAGGGACAACCCCTTAGAGCTGAGTTTTTTTTTATATTCCCTCATGGCATGTGGGCTTTACTGCCCAGGCCAACATTTATTGCCCATCCCTTTTTGCCCAGAGGGCAGTTAAGAGTCAATCACATTGCTGTGGGTCTGGAGTCACATGTACGCCAGACCAGGTAAGGATGGCAGATTTCCCTTCCTAAAGGACATTAGTGAACCAGATGCATTTTCCATCCCAACAATTTGGAATCATATCATGGTCATCACTAGACTCTTAATTCTAGATTTTTGATTGAATTGTAACTCCACCATCTGCCATGGTGGGACTTGAACCCACATCCCCAGAACATTAGATGAGTTTCTGGATTAATTGTCTAGTGATAATACCATTAGGTCATTGCCTCCCCATCAATGAGGAGGACTTTCTTCAGCCAAAGGATGGTGAATCTGTGGAGCTCATTGCAGTAGAGGCCAAGTCATTGATGTATTTAAGACAGAAATAGATAGGTTCTTGATTAGGAAGGGGAACAAGGCAGGAGAATGGGGTTGAGAAACATATCAGCCATGATCGAATAGTAGAACAGACTTGATAGGCTGAATGACCTAATTCTGCTCCTATATATTAAAGAATCCCTACAGTGTGGGAACAGTCCCTTCGGCCCTACAAGTCCACACTGACCTGCAGAGCATTCCACCCAGACCCATCCCCCTATAACCCACCTAATCTTCATATCCCTGGACACTACAGCATGGCCAATCCACCCTAACCTGCACATCCCTGGGCACTGGGACAATTTAGCATGACCAATCCACCCTAACCCGCACATCCCTGTGCACTATGGGACAATTTAGCACTGCCAATCCACCCTAACCTGCACATCCCTGGACACTATGGGACAATTTAGCACGGCCAATCCACCCTAACCTGCACATCTTTGGACTGTGGGAGGAAACCGGAGCACCTGGAGGAAACCCACACAGACACGGGGAGAATGTGCAAACTCCACACAGACAGTCACCCAAGGGTGGGATCGAAACGCAGGTCCCTGGTGCCGTGAGGCAGCAGTGCTAACCACTGAGCCACCATACCACCCTTATGGTCTGCCTATCTGATGAGGTCCCTCATAATTACGCGTACCTCCATGAGATCTCCCTCCCTCTCCTAAAATGAGCCTTGCCCCTCCACTCGCTAAAACTCCCCTTGCTCCATATCCTCAGCCCCCTCTCCTGGACCATGCCAACCTTCTTGTCACGTGGTGACGCAAACTGTACACCGTCCTCCAAATGTGGCACCGAGGGATTTAAATCCTAGCATTCAGAGCCCTGCCCTTTCAACCCCACTGGGGGCTGGTGAAAGGGATTACTCCCAGCAGTCTCTTGTTGTCCGGTCCAGGCACCATCAGGGTATGACATTCCCAGGATTCCCCTCTCAGTGTCCGACCATTTCTAATGCACTCACTCGTTCCCCTTTGTGCTTACACTTGAATGAATCGCTTCCCGAGACTGAATTCTGCTGGTTACTGCACCATCCACTGAAGTCCCACCTTACAGCCTCCGTCCTCACTAACAAACACGTGGACAATTCTCACAGTGTCTCCAGATTTAGTCACAGTTGCCCTGACTGTCACAACCGTTACCCATCCGTCTGTCTGTTCATACTCACATGTAGTTAAGGTGTGGAAGATAGGAGTGAAAGCCCAGTAAAGGAGGATAAAGTACATCTGAAACAGCAAAAAAAATCAAAGGGGTTAGACACAGAGGTAACACAGCGCCGACCCTCCGACAGTGCGGCGCTCCCTCAGCACTGACCCTCCGACAGTGCGGCGCTCCCTCAGCACTGACCCTCCGACAGTGCGGCGCTCCCTCAGCACTGACCCTCCGACAGTGCGGCGCTCCCTCAGCACTGACCCTCCGACAGTGCGGCGCTCCCTCAGCACTGACCCTCCGACAGTGCGGCGCTCCCTCAGCACTGACCCTCCGACAGTGCGGCGCTCCCTCAGCACTG